CTAGGCCATGTTGGTGGACCTATTCTTGGCATCTAGGGTTCGCTAGTTGGTTTGATGCCTATTATTTCGAGGTTGGGAGGCGGGTAGGGTTAATGGGTTGGAGTGGCGATGGGTAAGGTCAAAGGCGGGGGCAGTAGAGCTGGTTTGTCGTGGTAGGGCAATTATAGGGCAGTGAAGGAGTTGATGGGCTATGGTGGGAATGTTGTGAGTTGTTCAAGTAGGAACTGGAACTTTTGAGTTGTATGATAACTTTAATTGAGGCGGCATGTGACAAGTATCAGAGGTCACTAGGGTATCAACGCAACTAGGATACCGTATGTGATTGGGATTCTCACCGCCGCTGGAATTTGGTAACTGGATGTTAGGTGGATGCATTAATATCCTCTTAGTAACCTTTTTCGAAAATTTTGAATTTTTTCCTATTTTTTCATGGTTTTACTTTGATATTATTTATGTCAAAACTTGGACAACTAAAGATACCGACTAGCATCCCGTCGCTCGAGAGAAAGGTCATAAGGTGTGTTTCAACTATAAGATACAAACAATCCATCGCCGTGTATCGAAAAGGTCATCGTTGATGGAATTAATTACGCTTTTATGCAGACAATTCTCGGTATAATTTCAGTATGAGAAATAAAATGTTAATGGATTTATTCCAGCACAACAAACTACTCAAATCTACTGCGTCTTGTATTTATTAAAGATCTTATCATGATGCCCATTTGAAAAGATTGTTTAGATCAAAGTGATTTAAACATCAACCTCAGTAAGTTCTAAATATAATTTAGTAATGTTTAAGAGCTTATGAAAGTGGAAGTGAGCTGATACAATGAATGATATACTACCACTTTATTCTTTGTTTATTAACCTTGCCTGCTCGTTTTATATTTTTAGCTCCACATTTTTCAATTAACACACTTGTATTTATAGGCTTAAGTGTTAAATATACTTCTAGGCTGTAGTGAAAGAGTCTTTTATGATGTTCTATTTCCAATTGAGTGACTTTATAGTGGCATGACCTCCATTTGTCTTCTTATGTCACATATTTGTGACTTTTTTGTATTTTTGTGAGACCTTCACTTATTTGCTAAGCAGCCAAAATGTCTAAAATAATTTTTTGGTTTAAGAGAAAAGATGAAAGTAAGCTCTCGAACTATTTGTGATACTGCAACTAGACCCCTGAACCGGAAGAGTTGCAAATACACTTCTTAACTCATTGAAAATGAAGCAATCAGGTCTTTTTTATCTGTTAGTGCAGGTAAGGAGATGTGAAATTATCGACACCCACAGGTAAAAAGAATCTGATTACTTAATTATCAACAAGTTTTCCGGTTCCATGAGTCTGATTGCAGAATCGCAAATAGTTCAAGAACTTATTTCCATCTTTTCTCTTTGATTAGTTTCTTATTGATTAGTTCAAGTCTGATTAGTTTCTTTGATTAGTTTCTAGAAAGAAAATTTCTAGAACAAACATCCGCTTTGTGTAAGATTGCAATCGGTCTTGTCACTTGTTCATGTCATTTACTGATCTAGGAGTGTCTCCCGTACTTCAAGAGTCTCCACCTTTCTCTAATGGTGTAACTAGTCCAGAACATGTCACTCCTGACATATTTGTATGATTATTCACAAGTAAATAATTTCTTAATCCATTAAATAGACTATCGACTAGAATAAAGTTCTTTCTGATAGTATTTATCGAAGAATATTAGTATACCTCTTTCGTATGATTTTCATTTATTTTATTGATAAATTGCATTTTTATATATTATTATATAAAATGAGTACTCTATTGAAACCTAACTGCAACTTTACTTATTTTCCTTTTTCCACAATTCAACATGTGATATCAAAATTTAGTATTTGGTATAAAAGTTGGTTGATAAGTTGATTATTACAAGGGGTGCCCTGACATATAAAAGGCCTTGTTCAAAATTGAATATGAGGCTCTGAAGTATAAAACACAATATCAATACTCACATCGTTGTTAAATAATAATTTCCTTAGATTTTTATGGTTTTTAAGAAGAAAATAATAGGAGTAGTATAGAGGTGTAAGATAAATTAAAAAGTAGGCAAAAGAATATATTAAGAAGAGCAAAGTAATGATAAAGTATGAAAGAGAAAGTAGTATGCAAGCTTGTCCCAAACTGTGTGAGGGTTTTATGCTAATTACTATTACTAGACCTTATATAATAAAGAAATTGCACAATTGTAATTAACAATTGCAGATTAGTTACATATAAATATTACTATTTAATGTGTGTTGGGATATTAGGTCCCGACCCAGGTATATGTCCAAATATCCCTAGAAGGTCCAGGTTCCACGGAGTCAATCAGACAAGAAGTCCAGTTCGGGAGGGATCACACGGTCTATGTCGCACGGCCACGCCCGTATGGACCGATCATCATACATGGGCCTTTTCTCCATCGTGGGGGGCTGTTCATGGTAGAACGTCCCAAGGGAATTAGCGGGAAACCTCATATTTTGCGGGAAGCGTGTTTAATGCAAGAGATATGGAGTTTTATGGTTGAGAGAGTATCCACTCAGGGTCAGCCACATCATTCTCTTCAACTACTCATTCTTAGTATAAATATCAGCATTTATTTCATTGTAAAGAATTAGCAACTTTGTACTCACAAGCATTACACTAGTATCTAGCTCTTGAAATAGCCTTTAGTTCTGCCTTGAGGTCGGAATTCCTGTTCGGCACTTCCGTTGTAATCAGTCTGTAATTGGAATAGAGTTAGGTTACCTGCATCTTAGTGTGATTACTTCTTACATCTTATTTACCTTGCATCAGTACATTCCATCGACAATCGGGCCCAGAATTGTGTTACAAACGTGTCACGCGTGCATTGCGAGTCAGGCCCAGAATTTCGCATAGAAACAGGGCATGTTGCTATCGCCGAACGACATAAGAGTCACACTTCTACTTTCTTATATCCCGCGCAAGCTCAGAACATCAAATGCGGGGGACTTGTGTTGGGATATTAGGTCCCGACTCAGGTACAAGCTCAAATATACCTAGATAGCCCAGGTTCCACGAAGTCCTTCAGACATGAGGTCCAATTCTGGAGGAATCGCACAGTCTATGCTGCACGGCCACGTCCATACGACCCTATCATCTTACTTGGTCTGTGTCTCCATCGTGGGGGTTGGCCATGGCGGAACGTCCCAAGGGAATTGACGGGAAACCTCATATTTGGCGGGAAGCGCATTAAAAGCAAGATATATGGAGGATTTTATGGTTGAGACTTGAGAGAGTATCCACTTAGGGTCGGCCACATCATCCTCTTCAACTACTCATTCATAGTATAGATACCAACATTTATTTCATTGTAAAGGGTTAGTAACTTTGCACTCACAATAATTATACTAGTCTTTAGCTCTTGTAATAGCCTTTAGTTCTGCCTTGAGGTCGTAATTCCTGTTAGGCACTTACGTTGTAATCAGTCTGTAATTGGAATAGAGTTCGGTTACGTGCATCTTAGTGTTATTACTTCTTGCATCTTATTTACCTTGAATTAGTACATTTCGTCGACAACCAAAGGAGCGTGTTAGACCTTTGGACCCTGAGGAATAAACCTCAACAATGTGTGTACTTACAAAATACTAAGTTTTGAATGTTTAATCAAATAAATAAGAATTTTGTATATTATGTAGACTATATATAAAATTTTGGGTCTTCTAAATCAGGAGGCCTTGTGCGATAGCACTTCTTGCACGTAGGGCTGGACTCGGGCCGGGCGGCCCGACCCGGAACCGACCCGGCCCGCCCACTGTAGCAACCGGCCCGGCCCGGTGGCCCGGTCCACCAGCGGTTCGGGTCGAACCGACCCGGTGGATACCGGTTCTGGGCCCGGGCCCTCCATTTGGTGAACCGGCTCGGCCGGTTCGGTCCCGGTCCGGGCCGGAATTTTTTTTTTTTTTTTTTTGAAAATTTTTTAAGTTTTGGCTTGGATTAGGTATTTTGGGCCATTTGGGGTGGTTTGGGGTTGAGGGGGAGGGTTAGGGGTTAAATAAAAGAAGCCAAAAAAAAAATTACATACCCGGGTGAACCGGCCCGGCCCGGAACCGCCCACCCCCGGTTCGGGCTCGGGCCTCATATTTCTGAACTGAGGCCCGGTCGGGCCCAGGCCCGAGGCCCGAACCGGCCCGGTTCAGTCCAGCCCTACTTGCACGCTCTCATCTACGACCCTAAGTTGATAACAACAATTACCAAACGAGGTTTATATCTTTGGGGTTTAATGCGTCAAACCTTGTTAATATATAACTAATGACGCACATATTATCCTGAAGCAATAAATATAAATTTGGAGACCACATGTTTTATGTTATGACTACACATGCAAGTAATTTTTTTTCAAGATCCCAAAATTATACACAATTTGATAATTTTTCTTTTATTCGACAATTACTTTTCTTCTTAGAGGGAGTTGCACACATTGTTAATTTTATCATAGAGTGGGTTAACACATATTTAAATCACCATTGTGCCGAACTTATATATCAAGGAGGGAGGGTTGGCGCATTAACTCATAATTTTGGTAATAACCGATTAATAATGTTGATAAGTCAAAAATAGAGTTCACGAGAAAGTGGTACGATTATTATGACAAATGCATTTATATGATTAGTATTGAATTGATAAAGTAAAAATAAAGTAAGACTCCTTTAAATTCGCATAAACTTTATCTAATTTGACTAAGACAGATCCAAAAGGAAAGAGCAACAATTTTAAGGGGAAAGACAAACTTGGATTAATTATGCTCAATGTCGAGCATCTCATGCGGGGGAGCGTCGCAGTGCCATTGCTAAACGACGCCGTTAACTATATTTTCCTATGGCTGCTTTTGTAATTTACTCGAAATTCCCAGGGCGGTTCTTTCCATCCAAAAACCTAACCCTCCCCAAACTCACCGAACCACGTAATCTGTACACGCGTGCTAAATCTCAGCCGTTGCTTTTAACGAACCATATCTCCACCGTCAGACCCTCTCCTCGCCCAGTATATATATTCCTGGGATCTGCCTCCGCTCATATCAGATAATTTCATCGAAAACAGTCTGATAATTTTAGAGAGAGAAATCGGAGCTACGAATTATTAAAACTTGGTAATCGGATTAACTATTTCAATCTGCGAGTCGAAGAAATCGAATCAATTTAGTAAAGGAACCGGGAAAAAGGTTGAATGTTTAATCATTTTTTCTCCTTTTTTTTTGTTTATTTAAATCTTAAGGGTTTTCAATCGGTAACATCTGGATTCTGGTGCTGGAACTCTATAAAATTCCTCAATATTTTCTGGATTTTCGGAGGCATAAATTTATGTCGATAGAAGCGAGATGTTACGATTGTTAAACTTTTCGCATCTGTTAATCTAACCGCGGTCCGTTTTTGCGGTATTTTCCGATCGTTACGATTGTGGTTTATTTAAATTTTGAGTTCTTAACATATCTCAAAAAATTTGAAATCCAGAAGGGAGATGAACGAACAGCAAACAGCGTCGATGATGAATCAACAGCAGCAGCTGCAACAGCATATGATGTGTATGAGTCAGGGCCAGATGATGAATATGAACCCCCGTCAGCAGGTAATTATTCCACTCGGACACGATTTGTCGAATATTACGTTTCTTAATCATTATTATCGTTACATGAACTGGAAGGAGAGTTCCTATGCTTCTCCAATGTTCAATAACACAACAGAGCCTGATATCATGATCGATCTCAGTTCTACTTACAGTAATCATCACTCTGAAAATCTAAGGTTTTGCTATTCACAGATGCAGCAGCCTCCTATGATGAATCGGAAGTACGGAGTATGGCCACAGCCTCCTCAAATTGTGGATCAGTCTCAGATGCAGTTCAACCCTGGTGCTATGAATCATCAGGGGTTTATGAATGGGAAGCAACAAAAACCTTTAGGACCTAGGAATACCTGGAAGGGGAAAAAGGCGATTAAGAATGATAACAGAATGGATGGAGGTAGAAGGAAGGAGAAGTCTCTGATGGTTGGTATTGGTGGACTTGGAACCGGTGGTGTGAATGGAGGATCTGTTGGTGGTGCATCTGCTCCAGGGACTTATCAACCTCCTACTCTTAATGAACTACAATGGCAGAATCGGGTTAAAGCAAGAAAGTTTTTTCACAAAAAGAAGATTAACAATTACAATAATAACTACTACAACAACAATAATAACAGTGGTAACAATAGGAAGGCTCCATTTGCTCCGAGGAACACAACATCTTTCCTCATAAGGGCAAAGAAGAGTGGTGGGATTGCTTCACTGGTATCACCTTGTCCTGTCACTCCAGCTGTGTTGCCCACACCTATCCTCTCTCCATCTAGGGAAGTCTTGGTGGATATGGCAAAAGAGGAGTGGGGAGTGGATGGGTATGGATCGATGAAGGGTTTGATTAGACTGAGGTCTCCTGGTCTGGAGATAGATGATGATGAAGATCAGGGAGGAGGAGGGTCAAGTGAAAGTGATGTTGAGGAACACGTGGAGGTGGAGAGAAGGTTGGACCATGACTTGAGCCGGTTTGAGATGATTTATCCCAACTGCGGGATGGACTACAATAATAATATTTTGGAAAACCGTGTTGATGATCAGGACTCTCACATTGCTCACCTTGAGGAAGAGAACCTGATTCTGAAGGAGAGGTTGTTCTTGATGGAGAGGGAGCTGGGTGATCTTAGGAGGAGATTGCATAGTCTTGAAAGGAAAAATCACAGAGAAGGAGAGGAGAATGAAGTGGTAATGGAGAATGAGTCTGAAAATGACAGTGCAAGTCATGAAGACACAAATTCCATTGGGGATAACAATAACCTGGAAGTGGTTGTAGAAAACAACATGGAAGGAGATGATAATGTGAAAGGGAAATTAGATACCACTGATAGTGATATCAAATTGGCCAAGAGAGGGGAAGCTGATGTGATGGAAACTGAAACTCTGAACTATGAGACAGTTGAACTTGCTAAGACTGAAGAAGTTGTAAGAGAATGTAAGGGAAAGGAGCTGGAAGGAGATGATTTGAATGGGAAATTAGATGCCCATGGTGATAGGGATATTCAATTGGCTAAGAAAGAGGAAACCGGTTTGATGATAGAAACTGAAAGTTGGACTCAGGAGATGCCTAAAGTTCCTAAGACTGGAGAAGTTACCAAAGAATGTGGGAGAAAGACGAATGAGGAGGATTTTGAAGGAAAAGCATTTGGGGAAAAACAGGATAATCAAGTGAAGAAAGGCAATGATTTTGACGGGGAAGAAGTGAACAAGCATCTGGATATTGAAGCAAAGAAAGATGATGTTGAACTGAAGGAACATGTGGTTTTGGATGTACCTGAGAAGCAGCATGATACTGAAATACAGGATAACTGCAAAGCTCAAGCATCAGATTGTATAGATATTGGGGGTGATGTTAATTTGGTGGAAACTTGTCAAGCTGATGATGAGAAAAAAGTCCCGAAGAATTAGAGGGAGGGAAATGAACTGGCCGTGGTGACTGTTACTGTCCCACGTTAATGTCTATTCCCTTAAAATCTCTCAATTCTAGTTCATATCACCACTCACTATTAAGGTTTTACAAAATGTTGGTAGTGTGGCTGTGTATTTTAAAATGAAAAGGTCACAGAAAGTTTTTTTTCCTTTCCTGTCTAACTGTCAGTATTAAATATGGGAGTCTCTTATGACCAAGGTATTTGAATACAAAAATGTCATTGGTTTTGTCTTCTTTCTTAAGATTGTGTTTCTGGCTTGTAGATCTTGGGTTTCTTTTACTCTACCTTATTCTTGAACTGTTTCTAGCACATTCAAGAGTACATTTAGTAAATCTTATGATAGTGAACACATGTATTTGCATTGTTTAATGTGTTTATGTGCGTGTCTTTGCTGAAGCCTACACTGAACTGTGCCTTTTGTTTTGAATTTTGTGATTTTCTTGTGGGTTTGTTATATCTCTATTGAAGCGTTTAGTGAAGCTGGATGCATATGGAGGATTTTGTAGTGTGGTTTCCTATATCTTAATTAAAATTTTAATTTGGTTGTATCTCAATTAAAATTTTAAGATAGCCAGGTTGTTTCTCAGATTACCAGCCTAGCATTTGTGAAGTTGTGAATTTTGAACTGAGGTGTTAAATCTTTTATTCCCTTTCACCATCTTACCACCTTTTATTCCCTCCGACCTTCTACAAGTTGGAGGGAAACATTCCCAATATTCTTTGGATTTATTATGGTTAGATGGTTTCTTGTGTAGGGATGTGGTATTACTTTTGTGTGCTGTTAATGGTTTACTTGTTTGGTGGAGTAGACGACGAGGCGTTGGGTAATGGGATGATACTTTATATAATAAAATTGCTTCATTGCTTGTCTTGTTAGTCTAGTTTACGTGTTCACACGTACATGGGAAGTTGATGGTCTTATACTCCTTGAGTCCTTGTTATATTTGGTTAGTGTATTACGCTTTATTAGAGAGGTTGAGAAAAGAATGTAGCAGTATTCAAAAGTGTAGAACATGTAAAAAAAAATAGTACATGAAGATGTAAAATATGAATTGTAAGAAATGGAAAATGAACGAGATTTGACTTTCATATATATAAAATATGAAAGAGATTAGACGTTTATCAGATCAAATTAAACATAAATAGACCAGACCAGCAAATTATAGTCCAATTAAAAGCATCCTAGTATTATTTTCTTATATTTGTATATTTACTAGGTCTATTTACCCGAAATTTTTGTTTTATATGTATTTGTGTGTATTTTTTTTATATTGACTCCGTTTGGATAATAGGGTGTTATCCAAACCGTTGAATTTTTTGAAAGGCAAACCGCTGCATTTTGCAGCAGATAGGCATGGACCCGCTACAAAACAAACTCAGCCATTGTTGCCCCTCCTGACAGGAAATTCCATGTCTACCGCTGGCTTCATTATCATTTTTTTATCAACAAATTGTTTAGCATCCACAATAAAAAAAATTGGATTGATTTATGTTTTTGTTTGTATGTTTCTGCCGACACGAGCACTTACAAAAATTTGGAAACAGAAAAGGTTTGATTATTTGTTTTCAAAAAAAAAGGTTTGATTATTTAAAACCTTATTTATTCATGACTAAAACAAAAATTTCATTTGTCTATTATGATTACATAGACAAGTGAATTTGAAAATGTCTTTACTCAGGGAATCTTTGGTTGTGTTTCAATTTTTTGTTGTGGTCCTAAATAAGAATTTAGGTTTTATTTGATTTTTAGGGTTTTAACAAGGTAGTTCATGTCTGATTAAATGCACAAAACAAGTAAAAAAACATTACAAAAAAAGATAGGAAAAAAGAAGATTAGAAACACCCGTCAAAATAAAAATAAAAACAATTAAGCTAACTTGATATGTTTGTATTAACGCCATAAAATAAAATAAAAAAAAATATCAAATTTCACATTTCATTCATGAGTGGGTTGGGTGACGCAATAAGTATTTGGGCATTTGTGTAGACATTAGGCTCCATCGCCTAGATGTTACATGGTGTAATACTTTCATAAAATTCTTGTCTTCAAATTTCAATTGTTTTTTTTATAGCAAAGGGCAAACTTATATATATGTAAAACATATATTATGGATAAACAATAGAAACAATCGCAACACATGTTCAATTTTTAACAAGAGCAACTTGAATCATTGATCATGAATTATGGGGTGTCCCCAATATGGATTCTAACAGATTTTAAAAAAATTTAGAATTCCATCTGAATTTGGGTGTCCTGAATTTGGATTTGTGGGGAGTAGGGGTGGACTCGGGCCGGTCGGCCCGACCCGGAACCGGCCCGGCCCGGTTACTGTTTGGCCCTACCCGGCCCGGGGCCCGGTGGGTCCATCGGTTTGGTTTGGCCCGGCCCGGGTGATGGGCGGTCCGGGCTCGGGCCCTGCTTTAGGTGAACCGCGCCCGAACCGGCCCGAGTCCAGCCCTAGTGTGGAGTCTGCTAAAATTATGGTGTCCTCAAAGTGTCCGTGGATTCTTTAACTCTGGATTGTTAAGGATTCCCATGTGCAAATTTGAAGTGTTTACCACACATCTGTTAAAAGTTTGAGATATTTAAATTATTTTCCCCCATATAAAGTCACTTTTTCCGTAATGAGTGTAATATTATTCTTTAATTGTAGTTTCTGTGTAAAGCATACTACCTCCGTCCCGAATTGATCTGCAAATTTGACTTTTTTGGGTCAAACATTTTCATTTTATTTTCTTATTTAGGTTATTAATTTTTAATTATATTCTAATTTGAAGTATGCAACTTTAAAGAGAATTTAATGTAGTTTCTGAATATGTAAATTTTATTTATTAAAAATTGAGTTAATTATCGATAAGGAGGTTTGACTTTTATTATTGGTTGACCAAAAAAATGTTGACTTCACAAAACAATTTGGGACGGAGGGAGTATAATGTCGTATGAGGCAAAGTGACTATAATTGTGTTGTTATACTAAGGGCCTATTTGTTACGATGCAGAGTAAACACTTTGCGTGTACTTTTTTTAATATTAAATATAATACCATTAACAATAAATGAAGAGACGGATGTTATAGCTAACCACTGGAATACATTCTACTCTAATTTTGTTGCAACCGCTTATGTCGCTAGTCAAGTGACGAAGATAATTAGCTAACCGTCGAAGATGCTCCAAATTGACTAACCAAGAAGGCTGAGCATACCAAGCTACTAAGAAGCTAACTAAGCTTGATTTATTGGCTATATTACATAGGATCCAGCAGCTTGAAAGTACGTAACCCGGCATTATCTCCAACCAAATCACTCCACTGGTCTCCAATGTTTCCGATAATTCTGTACCCTTTCCTAACCAATTCAACTCTGTCCTCTGCTTCGACTTGTACTCCACCGATGTCCCCGTCTCGTTAGCTCCATTTAAGATGACGTATTGGATGGCGGCGACGGTGACGGAGATGCAGTCGTCGCGGTACTGGTGGCCGAGCATGTAGTGGCCGACGTAGCCTTCACATTGGAGGGGGACCATGCTCCAGTCTCGGATGTTGTTGGTCTCCACACCGAGCCGCCAGCTGTGGCAGACGCCGACGGTTTGAGGCCGGAGTTGGTGGAATTGGTTGGCGGAGGAATGTGCATGGGAAGGAGGAGCAGGGCGGTGAGCGGCGGTAGTGAACACCTCCTCCTCATAGTGTGACTTGGGATAATCCATACGTTTCTCCCTCACACTTTGCGTGTACTATTGAGAACATTCTACAACGTTTGTTTTAATTATTTATTGTAAATTATATTATATTTTTTAATAACATTTTACATCTTTATCAAAAAAAAAAAATAACATTTTACATCATATCATGTAAAATATTTTACCTGGAGGGATAGTAAATTAATGTACATCCTTATAAACAAATATGCGGCGAACTAAAAATCGTTGGGTAGCACTCTACGTTACTCTGCACATTACCGGTTGAGGTTAGTTTCCACTCTTCTTTACTATTTTACGTGCAAATTCATGACAATCCTAAACTTTACATATAATCATTTTGCACGTAACATTTTTACTTGTAAACTACCAAATATGCTCATATAATCATTGGAATTAATTTAATTGATTAATTTAAAATTTGAGGTTGGGCATAGTAATTTCTAGCCGTCAATAGAATTACCCATTTCAGAATGGATTATGAACCGTGAAAGGACATAGGCCCATGCAGTTATGCACCGTGTTTGTATTTACTGCTAATCATTTTTTATCAAAAATGTTTTTATTTAAGTACAAGTGGTTGCAATCAAAGCCTTAGAGCACCAGAATCACTTGTGGACGTTCACACAAACATTCCAGTTTCTGTTGGTGCTTCTTCATGGAGCACAAGCAATTTTAGGAATCAGATCCAAACATCCCTAATTCAGAAATTAGAAAATTTCTCATTTCTGACCCGACCCGACGCCGGGGGCGAAACCACTTGAATTGAAGAATCGTGGGAAGAATAGAAGGAAATCAACAAACTCGTTTTAATCGTCATCAGCGATTTGTTCCACTCATTTATGATTGGTTTCCATGTATTAAAAATCCAATTTGCTGTTTATGAAGTTTTGCTGACATCGCGGAGAACAAAAGTGTGTTATTCATCTGGAAGTTCCGAAACCATGGATACTTCAATAGTTGCTGCAACTGAAACTAATCAAGCTTCAGGTACTCTCATGTATCAATTCACTTTAGTAGTTGTTTACCATTTCTCTTTTATGGGAGTTTCTTGAGATATATTTAGCTTTAAAGTATTCTTTAGACAACTCTCTGATTTGATTGTTTCGAACTCTAAAACATATAACGTTTATGTCAAAGTCATGTGCGTTGTGAGCTTACCTATTACATTTACATTTTTAGCCTATCTAAATCTCTCAAAATGGAGGATTTTAGATGCCTCAGGGACTTCAGGGTTATTCTATGGAGCATGTAAATGAGATGGTAAAATTCACCCAAACATAAGGTTGCCAGTCTCCCACAGAAAATTTCATTATCTTTTAATCTTTCAGTCTTTCCTATTTTTTATTAGTCAATCTTTAGTTTAGAGACCTATGTACGAGAGGATCATTTAGAGAAATGCCTTTAAATCTGAGTGGTACCTATGACAATTTCCCCAGTCCGTGAATAACTGCAATAAATTTTCAATTTTACCTTCAGATTTGGATAATGACGTGAAGAAGAGGTGTTGGGAACAGAGGGAAGGGCTTCCAGATGAGCCAAAATGTATTGTATGTGGTCGTTATGGTGAATATATATGTGATGAAACTGATGATGACATTTGTAGTCTTGAATGTAAATCGATTCTTTTATCTCGGATACAAAAATCTCGAAAACCGTCCCCATGCACTCCTCCAGTAAAATTTCCAGGTACTGATGAGTGTTATTATGTGAAGGATGGTAGCAATAAATCTGAATTGAAATCTCTGGACCTTGATAAATCAGAGTTGTTGAGGAGAAAACTCAACATTACCGTGAAGGGTGACCTTGTTCCACCTCCTTTCACATCGTTTTCCTCATGCAATGTTCCTCAAAAGCTTCTTGATAACTTAGAAGTTGCAGGGTATGAAATTCCAACTCCGGTTCAAATGCAAGCTATCCCGGCTGCTTTATCTGGCCAAAGCTTGCTGGTATCTGCTGAGACTGGTTCTGGGAAAACAGGATCTTTTCTAATTCCTATCATTGCAAATTGTGTGAAAATGAATCTAGCTTGTCATGAGAGGAAGCAAAAACCATACAGTATGGTTCTTGCGCCCACTAGAGAGCTCTGTATACAGATAGAAGATCATGCTAAGGTGTTGGGGAAGGGCATGCCTTTCAAGACTGCATTGATTGTGGGTGGTGATGCAATGGCTCCACAGCTCTTTCGTATTGAAAAAGGAGTTTCATTGGTTATTGGTACTCCTGGTAGGTTAATTGATCTTCTGACTAAGCATCATGAGATTGAATTAGACAGTGTTTCTATTTTAGTTCTTGACGAAGTAGACTGTATGCTGCAAAGAGGATTCCATGAGCAAGTAATGCAGATATTTAGGGCACTGTTTCAACCTCAGCTACTGATGTATTCTGCTACCGTTTCAAGAGAGGTGGAGAAAATGGCAAACTCCATGGCAAAGCATTTGACTATTTTGTCAGTTGGGCAGCTGAACAAGCCTAATGGAGCCGTGAAACAGCTTGCCATCTGGGTGGAGTCAAAACAAAAGAAGCAAAAGCTTTTTGATGTTTTAACGAGCAAGCGGCATTTTAAGCCACCAGTTTTAGTATTTGTTGGTTCTAGACTTGGTGCAGATCTCCTTTCGGAGGCAATAACAATATGTACAGGACTGAAAACTCTTTCCATTCATGGTGAGAAATCAATGAAGGAGAGGAGGGAGATTCTAGGGTCGTTTTTGGCAGGCGACGTGCCTGTTATGGTTGCCACTGGGGTGTTGGGTAGAGGAGTTGATCTGCTGTGTGTAAAACAAGTGATAGTGTTTGACATGCCAAATTCCATTAAGGAGTATGTGCATCAGATCGGAAGAGCGTCTAGAATGGGAGAGGAAGGTGAATCAATCGTATTCGTTAATGAGGAGAATAAGAAACTATTTCCAGATTTGGTTGATACCCTCAAATCGTCTGAAGCCTCCATTCCGCCCGAGCTGTCTAATTCGAAGTACACCATTGGCTCTCTCTCTGGTGGCAGGTATCATCAGAAGAAAAGGAAGAGATTCAATTGAAGTAAGCTGTGTGTGTTCATTGTATTTTCTCATGTGCTGATTGGCCTATACCTTATACGGTATGTTTGGATCCCATAAAATGCCATGTAAAGAAAAGAAATTGCTAAAGAAAGAATTCTATTATGTTGTTTAGTATTATCTCTGGAAATGCAAATGGAAATGAAATATGATTATTTGTTTGATATTCTTTTTTACATACGTATATTTTTAGAATTATCTTTTCTTCATATAACAGCTATAAATAAATAAAATGAGTATCAGGAAATATCACAGAAAAATGTATTGGATTACGGCCATATTTTATTTTCTTCCTATTTTCTCAGTTTTCTTTCCTGTTTTTTCCACAGCATTTTCTGGGATCTGAACGGAGGACCCTATGACCCATAAAAGAACAGCACCTTTTTAGTTATGGTTGCTAAAGTGTCTTGCTGATGATGAAAGTTATCACTAATGGGAGGTCCTGAGTTATATTATTTGATGGGAGTTCCGAATGAGCTGCCAACTGACAGATAATGAGAAGCAGTCAGGACACAATCTGAGGTAGCGGATGGTGCCCAGTGAGCTCAACTACAACTCTGTAAGGCTCAACTTAGAGAGCTCTAGATAACCATTGGTAGATGTAAATTTGTTGTGTCTCGTGAATATAAACTTCGCCTCAGTATTATAGAATATAGATTATGCTCTCCTTCAGTCAGTTAGTGTAGTGGACTTGGGATGTTTACTTGTGATTAAATTGACTTAACCATTCAATCATTGAGTCCTGTTTATTTATAACTTGTTCGAAAACACAGCTTCTTCATTCATGGAAAACTCTTTCAGTCCTTCCCATTGATACACCTGAACAGACATTTATTTAGCTAATTTTATACCCAATATGGAATTGATTATTTTATCCGGTTCAGACTGTTTATTCTAAATACAAAATAAACAGTCCATATTTAAAGATTAATCTAGACATGTATCTTAATATAAACAGATATCTCAATTCGGACATGACTTATTACAATAGTAAGTAAAAGTCCATCGACCTTAATACTACTCCATCCGTCCGATTTAGTTTTGACAGGGGACACAAATATATTAAGGAAAAATGTATGTTCATGAAAGTATGTATGTTTGATTATCCAGGGACTGTTTGGCATCACATTAGGGAATGTTTGACTCATGAAAGGTTCATCTCGGGAGTGTTTTACTTACCTTAACCTGTTTGGTTAACATATCACATATGTGAAATTGTATCCTTAAATAGTTAAGGATAACTTTGGAAGCCCATGTAATTTTGTATTCTTACAATACAAGAGAGACATTTTAAGTTTTTGAATTTCAGAGAAAATGGAGAATTGCTTTTAGACTAGAATGATCAGTCCTTAATATGATTACTTAGATAATGTATTTGAGTATTTTTATAGCACTACCTAATATTCCCACATGGGGATATATGTTTACTTAGCTGTTAGTATATGAAAAACTTGAACCAAACAAGTTTACATGAACCAAATTTCAAAAGTTTTTCCATGTGATCTTTTTACCATTTTCAGTTCTTTGATGTACTAGGATGTTTTTACTTGGACTGTAATTTGCTGGTCTGGTTTGAACTGGTCTGTTAATTCTGGTCTCTTTCTATTTTTATAACTATCCAAATCTGGTCTGGTCTGAATTTGTCTGGTCTGATCTGATGTGGTCTGGGATGAATTACAGTCCAAGTAAAAACATCCGTATTGTGTCAATGACACTTCTGGCATTCGACTTTAATTTTTTTTTCATTTCCAGACCTTCAGATATTGTGAGAGAGAGACTTTTAATCATTGACATTGAGATTACCCAAATTTAACCTGTTTAGTATTATCAATTGACACTTTTATTCATTTAACCAAATTTTGGCCACAAACGTCACTATGACAAATGACAATCAGCCTAAATGTTTCATGGTTGCACAACATAACAGTTGTGGTGTGGCAAATGGCAGCTTATTGACAGGAAGACATGAAACAATTGATTAGTCTATTTAGCTGAAATTGAATTGCCCATGGCCGTACCCATTCAATTGAATCCAATAACATTAACCGATTGTCCAGCTGCTATATCTTATCTTTTCCTGATTTTCTCATGCATACTCCGTATTTAATTAAGTATGGTTTATCCGGCCACAAAAGAAGGGGACTGCCGGCAGCCGGGGAGCATTAAATTAACTCTGGTTGAGTCAGAAAACTTGTGAGTCTTTGAAAACTCAGCCAAGTATCATGTGAAATTCAGGAGATAATGTAAGTACTGCATGCAAGCCAGTACGTACACATTAAAAACCTCTACTATATATCCAATCCGACCATATTTCTTGTGACCTCATTCTATAAAAGTCCACCATACCCATTATTTATATATTAATTCATCTTCATGCACCCCCAGTCCCCCACCCCCACCCCCATTATATATATAGCTGCAAAAAAAGTTTTTTTGACCAAGCTAGATAGCTAACTCTTCATTCTCACAAACGTAACGTGTCTTTTATTATACATAAAATTAAAGGCCCAAAAGCTGATTATTAAGAGGGATTGATCGATCATGATGGTAATTGGAAATGGATTGAGGTGTAATAGTGCTGTTTTGCTTCTTCTCATGACTGTGGGGTTTTGGCTACTCCGCACTACCCACACCCTTAGACCATCTCACTGTGAGTATATATACTATGTATATATATACAAGTTCTTGCATGCATATACAGACATACAGTATGTTTTTACTTGCTACATATATACCAATACTCTATGCCCCTTAAAATGCAGTGTTTATCATCTTTGCTTTGATTTAGCAATTTTGATCAATGTATTTTTGTAAAATTTATAAATTTATGCTTTTGTGCAAGTGTTTTTATTGAAGAACGTTTTCATGTCTTTTTTATATCATCAATAACTTCCTATAAAAATATGTAGTTGGTCAAATGTGGTCATATTTATGGAATTTTAAACATTAGATCCTATTTTAAGAAAATGACATTGTTCTTATTAGGGATAAATCTCCCAAAAAGATCAAATTTCTATTGATATTATATACTAGTATATATCTCTCAAATGCTTATCAGTACTGATTATATATCTTACCACATATACATTTCAGTTGCTCATTACCAAGGGAATGGACTTCACAACGGTGACCAGCCCGCAGATAATGAGGCTCAACAGGTTTGTCGCATATTTTGGCTATCTACACGTGCACAAGCCTCCTCCCATTATCCGGCCTAATCTCATATTGCTTCCGTCTCAAATTGATCGAGTTGTAATTTTTTTATTAAATCGATTTATTTTATTCACTAAATAGAATATAAACTTTATAACTTTATAGAGATATTAATGTAATTTCTGAATATGTAAATAAAAACATCCTGAATGATTAAAAAATGGCATAAAAACTAATTCAAAATATTGGGATGCATGCAGGATGAAGTGAGGAAGGGGGAGCTGGTGTATGGAACAGGGGGGTCCACCCGTCCAGACTGTACCCATGCATGTGGGCCCTGCTCTCCATGCAAGAGGGTCATGGTCAGCTTCAAGTGCGCAGCTGCTGAGTCTTGCCCCGTTGTTTACCGATGCTCCTGCAGAGGGAAATACTATCATGTTCCTTCCAATTAATCACGCTACTTAATTACTTTAATTTTTCACATTAGCTATCTAGTTCCAGACTTGAGTATTTAATTTTATTTTGTCTGCTTTAATTTGTAGTGTTAGTTAGTTAGTTGTACGTAGCCAATTAATTCCCACTATATATAATTAAGTTCGTGTAGCAGTCTTTAATTTAGTTTGTTGCTCCATAATTGGCAGAGGACGATTTTCCATGTAATCTTAGTGAACAAGATCAACGTGTAATTGGGATTAACCCTCTCGGGTTTTGAATCAACTCTTTGTCCAAGTTTAAATATTAATTCAAATTAGTGAGAGAGAGTTGAGCTGATAGATTTAGATGTTTCTAAGTGGTGCATTTGGATTTAGTGGATAGCGGTTAACAATAATGTTTCATTTGTTCTCTACCGCGGGCACCAAGCCACCAAAGGTTGTTCTTACTTTTGAGAATGCTGGCAGATGCTCAAACTCAGAATATTCAAACTCAGAATGTTAGAGTGCCAGAATCCATCTTCATCTAACCCCATGAGAAAGTCATGAGTCATTTCTTCCTCAATATGTTTGAGATGTTTTTTCTCAAGGTCATAAGATCAACCCCACATGTTTTGAGATATTTTGAGATGTTTGACCTTGTTACCATTTTAAGACTCAAAATTCTATTATAAAAGGACAATCCGATGGTAGGAGTAACACAAATCTTAATTGATTGTTGTTTTCTTCGTGGTTTATATTACCGGTATTAGAAATACTTAAATAAGGGTAAAAGACCTAAGTTTATAATTATAGACCCCATAGTTACTCAAGATATATATATATATTGGTCAAGCGCCATATGCTTGTAGGCCCAACAGTTACATTCAGTTATATTTCATCAAGGAAAATGCTACAAGTACAAATAAATTTACAAAAATATACAAACAGGTGAAATACAAACAGGTGACACCGCTATTAAATTATAATTACATTTGATATAAAAGTGATGTGATGTGTTAAATGATATTTCATATATATTGCCACATAAATGGGAATAAGACTCATGTAGGAGTAAACTAATGAAGGGGAATGAAAATAGGAGTTACTCCGTACAAGTTTTTAACTCCTAAATAAGACTTAATTTGAATGTGAAGACAAAAATGCCGCTGGACCAGAGTAATCGCAAGTCCGGAGTCCGGACGGGAGCAGCTACAAGAAGTCTTTTACCCATCATTCGCGCAGGATATTCCTTCCATTTTCGTCGACATTTATGTGGTGCATCAGTCAGTTCTTCCTCCTTGCAAAGATGGAGCGAGTTGGAGAATAAGCGGGAGTAAATCTTCTCGACGGTATTGATTTGAGATGCCATGTGTTCATTGCCGGTCTGCCGTTGATTATCGCCGGACCGCTTGTCGTCGCCGGATATCAGATCGTCGCCGGAGAAGTTGCCAGGTCTTCTTCTTCCTTCTTCTTCCCTTTTCTTCTGTCTGTTCCTTCTACTTCCTTGGTCTTCAATTCCTTCTCCTCCTTCCTTCTTCTCCTTTTTATTCTTTCTCAATTTCCAGATTGAGTCTTTACCGTTTCCGTGGTCTTCTGTCTTCTTCGCTGGTCTGCACTCATGCTATTATTGCTATCTACGTTCCTATTGTTTTATTTTCCAAGAGCCCGTTTGGTAGCATGAAAATCGGCTGATTTGGCTGATTGTGCTGAAATTTATAAGTTCTGGCTGAATTAGCTGCATTGGCTGATTCTGCTGATTCAAGAAAAAAAAAATTTAAAATATATTTTATTAATAAAATAAAGAAAAAATCGAGTTTTTTTCCGTATTAATGCTAATTAATTAAGTATTTACGAAAATAGGGTTGGGTTAAAAGTATTTACGGATATACTGCTGGGCTTAACCCTGGTCGGGGTAAGTCGCCAAACCGTTTGGCGACTTATAAGTCGCCCAACCGTTTGGCGACTTATAAGTCGCCCAACGGTTTGGCGACTTACCCATAAAATTTATAAAACCCACCAGTCCTTACACTATCGAGAAAGAAAGTTTTAAAAAAAAAAAAGCAAAGAAAAGAGGGGCAAAATTGTCTTTTGAGACCTGCTAAATTTTACGACTATCGTGTCCGCAGGTCGCCCGCGCAAGGGGGGTGCGAATTTTTGGTTCTGAACTAGAACCCGGAATTCTTGTGTGCGCGAGAGCTCCCCTATTCTCCTTCAACTTTTAATATTAAGTGATGAGTGGTTCATATTTATAGGCTTCAAACTTTCCAAGGAGTTTAGGTGTGGGAAAGTTAAAGAAGCCCACTTTCCACCTTTGCTTGAAAGTGTACACTTTTCCATCTATCTTTTTCAAGAGCTAGTTTTGAGGCACTTCAAACTTCAAGCTTCAAAACTCCAACACCAAAGGTCAACACTACAATCAAACTTCATGTCTGGTACGTCCGTAGAAACAAAAACGAACCAAACCTATCTGCTACGTTAGATTTAAATGAATAATAGTATACGGCCCAGATTAAATTTAAAAAAGAACCGCCTTCGTTTTTCCGTCTCTGTACTTTACCGCCTTTCCGTCATTAGTGACACTCTATTATTGCCATTTAAAAATGTGTCTGTATGTAATCAATTAGAAAGGGCTTCTTAGTAACTCTACAATTCATTGCCTTGTATATTACTCTATATATTTAGCACGTTCCTGTCATTACGCAACCACAACTTTTAAATCCATTAATGTTGATGTTATTTTTATATGGCGTGTCCCCACCATTAGGGCTGTGCACGAGTCAGGTTCGGGCGGGTCGGGTTTGCGAACCATAAACCCGTTCCGGGTTTTTAATTTAAATACTAGGCCCGACCCTTTGATATTTCAAATCGGGTATTTCGGATTTTTTTAAGTCGGATATTATCGGATATCGGGTCGGGTTTCGGATATTTCGGTTATATTTAAAAAAAAATTATAATTGGATAATTAAAGTGTTTAAATGCCACTTTGACAAAAATTGTACACACTAGTGCACTAAACTTCCAAATTACACAAATAATTTTACAAAAATTGCACAAATAATTAAACGTGAATGGATGTAAATATAGATTATAAATAACTTGATTAAAATGTGAATGGATTTAAATACATATTATACATAACTTGATTAAAATATGACTCTTCTGTCATTTTGCATAAAATAAAAAAACTTCCAACTTCCAATTTACGTTGTGAATAACACAAAAATTTTGTCAAATTTTCTCAGGAGCATTTTGTATGTTTTTCTTATGAGTGGGTGCATCAAGCTAGTAAGTTAGAGTTGTTTCCATTTTTGTGTCAGTTACACTTTTGGTACTCGACTTTTAATTTTTTCATTTTTAGTCCTCGACTATTGTGCTAAAGATACTTTTAGTCATCAACTTAAAAGTTTCCCACATTTAGTCCCCTGATCGGGTTTTCGGTTTCGGGTTTTTTTGGGTCAGATATCCACTTCGGTTCGGATAATATCCGAAAAAAATATCGGGTTTTTCGGGTCGGATCGGGTTTTGCTCAGCCCTACCCACCATTAATAAACATATAATATGATTACTCACTTTTGTTTCAATTTTTTATTAATACAAAGTATAAGTGCATCGTTTTTACTTCAAACAATTCGTTATTTGGACGAGGAAGACGAGCGCAGAGATGGAAAACATTATCGATCGCAAAATTTGGAAGGAGAGAAGAAACGGGAAGTAGGCGGTTATGGTATGAAAAGTAATAACGAATGAGATTTTTATGATTTCAGATGAGTAATTGACCAAAATACCCTTACGTTTAATTAGTCATTACTTCAGGAATTACCATTACACGGATGGTGATTTGAGATAGATGAATGACTAAGATTAAGTAAGTAAGTTAGCATATTAAGAAGGGTTTGCACTTGATCTCTAATATATATATATATATATATATATATATATATATATATATATATCGGGGTGACTCATGGAAGCTTTGATTGTAGTGTTGACCTTTGGTGTTGGAGTTTTGAAGCTTGAAGTTTAAAGTGTCTCAAAACTAGCTCTTGAAAAAAATAGATGGAAAAGTGTACACTTTCAAGCAAAGGTGGAAAGTGGGCTTCTTTAACTTTCCCACACCTAAACTCCTTGAAAAGTTTGAAGCCTATAAATATGAAGCACTCATCACTTAATATTAAAAGGTGAAGGAGAATAGGGGAACTCTCACGCACACAAGAATTCCGGCTTCTAGTTCAGAACTGAAAATTCGCACCCCCCCTGCGCGGGCGACCTGCGGACACGATAGTCGTAAAATTTAGCAGGTCTCAAAAGACAATTTTGCCCCTCTTTTCTTTGCTTTTTTTTTAAACTTTCTTTCTCGATAGTGTACTGGACTGGTGGGTTCTCGAGATTAGCTCTTAACCCTGGTTATAAATTTTATGGGTAAGTCGCCAAACCGTTGGGCGACTTATAAGTCGCCAAACGGTTTGGCGACTTACCCCGACCAGGGTTAAGCCCAACAGTATATCCGTAAATACTTTTAAGTCAACCCTATTTTCGTAAATACTTAATTAATTAGCATTAATACGGAAAAAAAAAACTCGAAAAAATCATATGTAAAAATAGCTAAAATGATCATTTACAATAACTTCAGTCAATACAGCCAGAAAAGTAACTCCAACCTTACTTTTTCTGCTTATTACACAATTCAGCACGCGAAAGCAAAAGTTACGTGTTTGGTGAAAAAGCTGGCTGATAAGCCTGATAAGACGAAAAACTATGTTGTCAAACGGCCTCCAAGTATGTGTCTGGAGCTTTGTGCTGCCGATTCCTTTAATGAAATTGATTTTCTAGATTATTTTATTTATTTTGGAAGATCTATTCAATTGCTATTGAACTACGGAGTAATAAATATTGGGAAATGGGGAAAAGGGGGCTAAAGTCCGATGGTCATCCACTGATCATTGACGGATTGATTTCAACATTGACAATGTCATTAATAAAATGTCATCGTTGGTTGCATTGCCATTGTCATACTACAATGATATTGTTATAGCATTGAGAGTTTCATTATTTGACATTGTGATAATTTTTTGACATTCTGATAGTTTCTAACATTGAATTTTTTAAAAATAATATGACATTATATTGTCACATATCTCAATGGTATCGTCGAAAACAATCTTACTTCTCGACAATGTCATCACAATGTTATTTTTGCAGTATTGAAATTGACATTGTCATTATCACAATGTCATTTTTTAAATCTTTGACATTGTTATTTTTGCAATGTCATTTTGTACAAGTGTTAATGCTGACATTGTAATTGTCATTATTTGACATTGTTTCATTTTTCCTGATATTATAATATATTATAATACATTATTACATTATCGTCAATGGGTTTTCAACAAAAGCAATATATTTTTTTTAGAAAATATAATATATTTTTTATAATTGTCATTATTTGACATTGTTTCATATTTTTTTATTTTTTTTTGCTAATATCATGACAATTTTAATATCGACAACAATCACAATAATATCGTGACAGTGTTAATACTATAAACATAACAATATTAAAAACAATGTCAATGTCACAATATTGTATATTTGTATGTATTGTAAAAAAGAAAGAAAGAATGTTACAATGTCATAAAAATATCAAAATGCTAAGAAAATCACAATGCCAAGAAAAATTATACAATGTTCAAACATTACCACTTAAACGTTAAAAAAATAAACAATATCTCAATATTGCAAATATTGTCAAAATGTATGAAAACGTCACAATGTCAAAAAAAATGTCACAATTTCGTATCGTGATGATGTCAATGTTATCAAAATGACATTATAACGACGACAATGAAAATGACATTGTCGTGACAATGTCAATGTTAGAAAGATGACATTGTTAAAATGTCAAATATGACACAATGTCAAAAATACGATTAACAAAAATAACAATTTTTTTGAACATAAAAATATAATGACGAATAAAAAGCTAACAATAATAAAAATGTAAATTAACATAGAAACTTAAGTATTACTCCATACACCGTATTAACAAACCAAGGCACTGAAGGTGTAATGTGAAAAAGGAAATTACTACCTCCGTCCCTTAAAACTTTGCCAAGTTTGACCGGCACGAGGATTAATAAAGTAAAAACTGTGTGGTTGAGGTTTGTGCAGAGAAGAGAGAATTGACTGGAATCACAAATTCTTTACTTCAAATGGAAAGTGGCAAAGTTAGTGGGACATCCAAAAAAGGAAAGTTGGCATAGTTTTAAAGGACGGAGGGAGTAATTATTAAACAAACAAAAGCACTGAAGGTGCAATTTGAAAACGGGAATTAGAAAACCCGAAACATTAACAAACAAATACAAAATCGAAGGAATCACACGGTGACACGGGTAAACAAACCGAACAAAGAAAAGTGATGGAGGAAAAGAAAGAAAAACGAGCAGCGAGTCAGAGAAGGAAGAAAAGCAGAGAGATCGAAGGAGAGGATGAGTCAAGGAGGAGAAAAAGGAGAAGAAAGATAGATTAGTTGTGAGCCTCTGAAATCTTCTCCAGTGCCGCCCTGCACCTCCCCTCCTCGCCATTCGTCGTTTCTTTCAATGTTGGTTCACTTCGTACTTCGTAGCTTCAGATCTGGTTTCTCAGATTTCCCTGTGGACCAAATGAGGGCTTGAAAGGAGGCGATAAAGAGACGGTAAAGACTCCCGTACTTTATTAGGGGCAAATCTGGAACACACAGAAAAATATGTCCTATTTAAGAGTTAAAAACATTTAGGTCCTATTTAGTTACATCAGCTTATTTTCAGTCCTATTTAGGACCATTTCTCCACATAAATCTGTTGTAACACAATTTATAAGAATACATTTACTTCTAGCATAACTCTAATCCGTTAAGTTTTTTTTAAGAACAAAGGGTGCAAATGAACCCTCATGTTCAAGATTAAACTCCCAAACCAATATGTTCATAACTGTTTCACAATAAGATATGTAGTATGTGAGTGTGCACACAGTAACAGAGAGTCAAATATACTACATTAAAATATTTGTAAAGTTGCAAACTCCAAATTAAAATTTGCATAAAAATTGATATTCTAATTAAGGGAATAAAATCAAACTGTTTGACCCAAAAAGTCAAATTTGTGTCTCAATTTAGGACGGAGGGAGTAACAATTACTATTCTATTCTGAAGGAGAGAAGAACATGGTGGTGGGCCAAACAGAGTGGAGGAGAGTGAAGGATGTAAGAAGCACATTTGGAGGCACGGGATGAAGGACGTCGTCGACTTTCTTATACACAGAACCCCATGAATTGCGATACCGGAAAACACCACAGAGCTCATCGACTTTCTCATACACACCCTGTGAAATGTGATACTGGAAAACATCACAGCCGCATACCAAGAAGACTGTGTCCCCATCGTGTGGATGGAAAGCAACTGTACGGATCTTGAACTTGTTTTCGTCTTCTTCTACTTGGATGCCATTAGACGGCGGCCTATCATTGAAGTGTGTGTCATGAACGAGAGTCCAAGCATTGGTTCTGAGATTCAACTCCCAAACTTTCACAACAACGAGATGCTGAGGTTGTTGTTGGTCAACCAAAAATGGGTGAAATACGTTGAATATTCTCAGTTCTCCCATGACAACACCCAACTCTATAGAAACAACACCCCAACCACCAGGCACAGAGCCTTCAGGAAGGTTGATAATGGCAGTAGAGTAGGGCTTGTTCACCAAATCACAGGCAATGACTTTGTCAGGAACTTTATCACAATTGAACCAATAAATAGTTCCATTGCAAGTGATTGGGCTAATGAAAAACCTAGGTTCCCTGCTGATAGGTACAGGATATCGAAACCATGAGTTCACACTCCATTGTCTGGTTTTTGAACAATAAATTGACATTCTAAAATCCCAAGTGTCTGCATCATCATCTTCATCGCGACCAAGATCGGGAAAATGAATGAAAGCCACCTTGTATTCATAACTGCCACAGCCATTATGGGCGGGGGGCTGTGGCATGCGTACCACTGCAAACCCAAGTAAGTAACCATCGAAATTAACACGGGGGAGATGGAACCACTGTTTGGTTACTGGGTTACAAAGATAGAAGGAGTTTGGCTTAACCCCATTGTTGCGAGAGCCTTGCGACAACAATAGCAAGTCGCTGCAAGATGCTCTTATGACCATGTTGGGCGCAGGCCGTGGCCTGATGCTGCCGCGGCGTAAAGGAGGATACCTTTGACATGACGTCCCCGTCTCCTCCTTCCTTCCCCCGTGGAGAACTGCAGATTCTTCCGAAAATAGTTTGCAGATGGGCTGATAATACTCATCTGCAACAAAAAAGTTGTCTACTATGCGGAATATGATGGAATAAGGCTGCTCTTTCTTCTTTTGCTCCCGGAGGCCTAAGAACCTGGGAATAAACTGCTGCTGCTGAGAGATGATGGAATGCCAAAGGGGACACACCAAGCCTGCAGAAATTGCACTTCGACTATTTGGTAGCCTAGCTAGTATTTCCATCAATACGTCTTCATAGCCACCCTCCCTCAACCATTTGGGGCACTCGGGATTAGCGTCAATCATGGCTTCCCCTGCTCCAGGATTAACAGCTCTTCTCCTCTTTGACCTCGTTTCCATGACTCGATCGATGTTTTCCTTCTCCCCGAGATGTTAATTAGGGTTTGGTAAAGCTCGAAAATTTGATGGATTGTTACAACCAAGGGAAACTGGTCGATTCCTTTTTTTATTGATTGCTTCGCCGCCTCACTTCAAGCATCCGTTAAGTTTGTGATTGCTTTTCCTTCACGCAAACGTAAATAAATTAATCGATCCATATATTTAGGGAGTATTTAACTAATTAAAGTCCTAAATAATTTACACATCCCGTATAAGTTACCTGCATAATTGTTTGATTGTTTCAACTGTGCTCTGTTTAGGGTTTAATTTGACATTTCAGCCACGACAATGGCTTATTCCAAGTTCGATGATAATCTCGAATTCGACGACGATATTGGCGCAGATAGTAGTGGGAAGATCGATTACAGTCTCTTGAAGGAAGAAGAAATTTGGCTTCTCCAGGAAGATGACGTCAACGAAATCTCCAGCGCACTTTACCTGCCGAGAGGGGAGGCTCGCGTTTTGTTACTCATGCACGATTGGAGCGTGAGCAGAGTGCTGGAGAACTGGTTCTCCGATGAGGAAAGGGTCCGAAAAGCGGCGGGATTGCTGCCGGTAGACCAAATCTCCCAGATCCGATTTCCGGAAAACGACGAATTCCGTTGCAAAATTTGCTTCGACGACTACCCTCTCGGCTTAAAAACCGTCGCATCCTGCGGCTGCGGCCATGTTTTCTGCGTCGGTTGTTTCGAATCGTGGATTCATTCATTGATCAGAGATGGACCGGGCTCTCTCTTCCGGCTCCGCTGCCCCGAGGTCGACTGCAACGCCGCGGTGCCGGAAGAAATTTTCGAGTCCGTCGCCCGAGATGAGGACAAAATTAAGTACCGGCGATTCCTCCTCCGATCCTACGTGGAGCAGAATCAGATAATCAAATGGTGTCCGGGGCCGGGGTGCGATTACGCGGTGAAATTCGATACGTGGAACACGGAGAACTGTGGCGTCGAGTGCGAGTGCACGACCGCGTTCTGCTGGAAGTGCACAGAGGACAGCCACCACCCGGTGGATTGCGACACCGTGCGGAGGTGGATGGTGAAGGCCACCTCCGAGTCGGAGAATTTGAATTGGATTCTGGCCAACTCCAAGCCTTGTCCCAGGTGTAAACGCGCTATCGAGAAGAACAATGGATGCATGCACATGACCTGCATTGCTCCCTGCCAGTAAGTACACCCCTAAACTAATCATTAAATTCATCTCTTTCAAATTTTCAAAATCTAAACTGATCTTTTTTTAGAGATGTTTTCAGTTTTAGGCTTTGTTTGCCACCACTTCTGCTTAAATAAAAGCACTTTTGGGAAAAAAGTGATTAGTAGTAAAAGTTGGTAGTGTTTGGTAGAATAAGTGTTTTTTGTGTAATAGAAAAAGTAAAAAGTAGATTCTACACGGAAGCCGAGAAAGTAAAAGTTGGTAGTGTTTAGTAAAATAAGTGTTTTTTCTTAAAAAAAAAAGTTAAAAGCACTTTTTAATGGGTTGCAAACAGACCCTTAGTCACAAACAGATCAAACCAACCAAACTTCGGCCGCTGAAATATGGAAGTGTCATCTACCAAATTGGTTCCTAAATTGGAACTAAAAACATATTTCCTCCGTCCCTAATTGTTTTGTAAAGTCAACATTTTTTGGTCGACCAATAATAAAAGTCAGCAAAACAATGTGGGTCAACCAATAATAAAAGTCAATCCTCCCTATTGATAATTAACTTAATTTTTCATAATTAAAAATTACATATTCAGAAACTATATTAAAATCTCTTCGAAGTTAATTGCAAACTCTAAATTAGAATATATGGAGTAATTAAAAATTGACATCCCAATTAAGCAAATTATATGAAATTGTTTGACCAAGAAAAATCAAATTTGTAAATCAATTTGGGGCAGAGGTGATACTTATAACGAATAAAAATATAAAATATCTCAATGATCATAACTGCATGTTGGCAAACATGAAAATGAAAACGTTACAACTAGAAAAAAACGGTGGTGTCTTTGATAGACCTGCACAAAAGCGGGTTCGGGCCGGGTTGGGTCGGGCTTTCCATAAGTTTTCTGCCCATCGCGTGTGGGCGGGCCCGGCCCGCAAAAACGGGTCTAACCCCATGTCCATACCCGCCCGTAAGAGCGGGTCGGGTAGTCCACCGGGCCGCCGGGCCCGGTAAAACTTTAAATTTTTCAAAATTATATAATTTATTTAACACTTTATAAATAATATTACAACATTTAAAAAATTGCTAATACGCTTATAATGTATATAGGCCTTTCATCACATACACAAAAAATATTTACACAAAAATAATAATGAGAAACTATATCTAAAATTTAAAATTCAAGCACAAAGTATTATCTTTAAGTACAAAAATAGATATCATATTGGTTGGACTATTTGTTAATAACTAAAAACTTAAATTTAAACATAATAAACTATATATATGCATACAGATAAATTAGTAAATATGAAAATATACAAGTGTACATGTAAATAAATACATAAATTAGTATATATAAAAATATATATGTATATATACTAAATGTAGCGGGTCGGGCTTATCGGCCCGAACGGGCCTACACCTTAACCCAAGCCCGTCCATATGTTGTTGCGGGCCGGGCCCGGGCAGGGCTGGTGGGTAAATATATATGTTCAAGCCCGCTAATTTGTGTGGGCGGGCTGGGCGGGCCGGGCGGGCCGGCCCGGTTTTGTACAGGTCTAGTCTTTGATTACTTTGGGAGTATTTTATAGCGTCACCGTAGAACTATTTCTAGTCTTATACGTAGTATCTAGGACTAGATTAAGTAGGGAGCGTTTTGCATGGCTTAAAAATGTATTTTCGGCTTTTAGCTAAAAAAAAAAGTTTAAAATGATACCTTTGGACAACTATTTTTATTGAAATTAAGAATTTTAAAGCTAAAAGTTGGAAGTATATATAAAAGAATTCATTAAACTTAGATTTACTTTTTCTTTTTTTTAGTACACAAACCAAACTAACTGTAATTATTACTTACGTTCCAAAACAACCCAACAGCTCAATTGATTAAACCGGCCACCCAGCTAAATAAAACAACAGTAGATCTTTTTTGCCACAATTATTTTTAGTTACGGAGTATTTTTTTTAATGCAAGGGTGGAGTTTGTTTTTAATCAATTGAGTAAAAATTAGAATTTGTTAAAGACCAGATTGGAAGATAACTTGTTTTTTACTTTAAGAATTCTTTTTTGTTTTAGATTTTAGATTTATAGATATGACAAGAAGTACTCCCTAAAAACACTAATCTCTATTAGTGATTTGTTTGAAATAATCCAAAGTATAAATTTTTCAAAATAATCTCAAATATTAAAAATTGGGAAAATGGAAACTAATAATCCAATCTTTTAGCGGTTTTCTTACAATAGTCCCACATTTTCATTATTCATGAATAATCCAACATTTGCACCTCATCTCCATTCACTGGTTCCTAACCGGTTGATGACCTGCTATTCCAAGTTATTTTCTTATCTTTGCAAAATATTATCTTTGTGAAAGGTGAGATTTATGGTATAATAGTTTGCAAAGATAAGAAAATAACTTGGAATAGTAGGTTATCAACCAGTCAGGGACCAGTGAATGAAGATGAGGTGCAAAGGTTGGATTATTCATGAATAATCAAAAGGTGGGACTATTGTAAGGAAACCGCTAAAAGGTTGGATTATTAGTTTCAATTTTCCCTTAAAAATTTCTCAAAATACTCTAGTGACGTATGATGTTTTTACTTGGACTGTAATTTGTCGCAGGCCAGAATAGACCAAACCAGGTCAGATTTGGATAGTTATAAAAATACAAAGAGATCATACCAGATCAGTTCAGACCAGACCAACAAATTATAGTTCAAGTAAAAACATCATTATAATAACCCATAAATTATTTATAATATTTACGAGCCAATAGATCAATTTTTTGGTTTCATGCCTGTCCCAAGCCAGGATAAAGGAGGAGGGTGTTGTGGTAGGCGCGTGACGGCCAACAGTATTACCTAGTCACATCACATGACATGAATCGAAATATGAATATCGCTATAGCTAGGTCGTCGCCCGTAAGCGACGCGTCATCCCTCCGCCTGGGGGTGGTGTCAAATATGCAAGGGCGCGCTACACTTCATAGGCCTGGGTGTGGTGATAAGAATGTTAAGGTTGCTAGGTCGTCGCCCGGAAGCGGCGCGTCATCCCATTGCCCGAGGATGATGTCAAATATGCAAGGGCGTGGTGGGGTCCGAGGCGGGGCTAAGAACAGAAGGTGGAGTGCTAGATTGCGCTTTGGGACGTGGAATGTTGGGTCTCTTACAGGCAGATCTTCCGAGGTAGTCGAAGTTATGAGGAGGAGGAATATCGGCATTATGTGTGTGCAAGAAACTAAATGGGTTGGAGAGAAAGCACGTGAGATTAATCCCGGAGGTTTTAAGTTGTGGTATTCGGGGAGAGATAAGACCAGGAATGGGGTAGGCATTATTGTGGCACGTGAGTATGTTGAGGATGTGGTAGAAGTCTTCAGGAAGAACGATCGCATCATGAGCATTAAATTGGTGATGAGGGGTGAGATTGTGTCTGTGGTAAGTGCCTATGCACCACAAGTGGGATTGGATGCATCTACAACTCAACAGTTCTGGGAAGATCTTGAAGATGTGGTGCGACGAGTGCCAAGAGGAGAGAAGTTGGTCATAGGAGGCGACCTCAACGGGCATGTGGGCTCGATTCGTGATGGCTTTGAGAGTATTCATGGCGGACATGGTTTTGGCACTAGAAATGAAGCGGGAAAGAACATTTTGGATTTTGCCTCAACGTATGAGTTGGCTATAATGAACACTTGGTTTAGGAAAAGAGACTCTCACCTTGTAACCTATAGAAATGGAGCTAATAGTACCCAAATTGACTACTTCTTAGTACATACTACTTGGAGAACTAGCTACACCGATTGTAAGGTTATCCCAGGTGAGAGTGTTGTCACTCAGCATAGGATGCTTGTGCTCGACTTTCGAGGTAAGAACCATAGAAGACAAGTTAAGCAACAAGTGGAGCCAAAGATAAAGTGGTGGAGGCTTGAGGGGGATCTTCAACAAAGCTTTACACACAAAATGTTCGGTGAAGATGTATGGCGTATTGATAATGGAACACAAGTGGAGGATGCATGGTTATCGATGGAGCTGACCATTAACAAAGTGGCAAAGGAGGTGCTTGGGGAATCTAAAGGATGTTTGCCACCCAAAAAGGACACGTCTTGGTGGA